AGTTAACTCTCTATTTTCAATATCCTGTAATAAAGTGTAATGGAAATGAATTAGAATAAAGAATTAACGAAAAAAGAAGAAAACAATTGACGACACTGATTTCTTTAGGTGAGTTGGAAAAAATAATATATGTTCATTTTGCAGTCGTATGACATTAAGCACAGAATAAGTTTTGAATTATAAAAATACGTCAGAAATTTTCATTGTCAAATTCTAACATTAAAATTCAAAGTGAAAACAACCATCTTGTTATGTTTTAGCATTCTCAGATGCTTGTATCTTAAAATACGTATACGAAGAAAGACAGTACCTTCTTATCAGAAGATTCTTTGTTTTTTCCAAATTTGTAGATTGATATCCCATCTGTAAAATGTAGTTAGAAATATATTAATAAGAATATTACCACCGTGAGTTTTAAACACCCACGTTCATGTATCTCCATTTATGGATATTTCAATTTAAAAAGTGGTTGAAAGAAGTTTAGAGAATTATAGCATTTTTCAAAATAAAAGGTTAGTTATGGTTCGGATATTTTTGAAGACAGGTGTAAAAAAACACATAAAACTAATTAATATCATATCTGGGACTGCACAATTGATATTCTTTTTATTTGAAGTTTTTTTTAAATGGAGGTCGTGGAGTTTGCTAAGCATGCGTCACGTATACGAATGAGCTGTGCCCGTCCCTGCTGCACTCTACCTTCTAAGCATAGAGAAAAGTACAATTAAACAACTCCGTCCCTGCTGACTATCCTACTGAAGATGTTAGTTTGCTGAAGCAGAATGAAACTTGTGAGCCATCTTTCACCATCTGACACTATTTCCCACATCAGAACCTTGGGGAAGACAGGTCTACTATCACTTGAGGAAGCGACCACAAGCCACTGGTTCAGGTGTTTTCCTAACTAACGATCAACTGCGGAAGGTCAGGGCTCCACTCACTGGAGAAAATGATACGGGCGTGCTTCTCTCTGAAAACTGAGAACGTGGTGCATGTTGAAGGAACATGTGCAAAGGCACATTCTGGCTTCTGTCAGAGGACTCTTTTTTACTCTATAAGAGACACCTCCTTCCCATGTCAGGTTGGGGAAGACACAGTCCATCAAATGTGTGTGGAAACAGACTACAGGAGCATGACAATGTCCCCAGTCAGGTTTCCCCATGCTTTGCAAAGCCCTGGAGAGAGATCTCTCCTTCTTCTGCAGTGACTCAAGAAAGAATAGAGGAATATGCTTTCATCTTACCAAGTGGCGCAGCTGGTAGTGGTGGGCGAGGCTGCACAGGGCACAAGGTGGTCCCAGGTGGAGGTGGCCCAGGGTAAGGATGGGGCCCTCTTGCATCAAAAGTAACCTGCAGAACAGAATGGAGAGCTGTGTTGGATGAGAGACAAAAGCACCAACACCAACAAAAGCTGGAACCCAACGCAGCAGCGATCAGCACCGGGCACCCTCCCCTCCCCCGGGTGCCCAGACAGCAGCCCAGCGTCACACAGTTCACCCTCCCATTGGGGGCCTGCCTGCACAGGTTGCCACGGGGATAAAACACTGTCACCACACGTCACCGCCAGTGTCTGTTAAGTGGAGGAAGCCAAGGGGCCTGCCCCAGATGCACAGACAGGTTCCAGCACAGACAAAGTAGCACCTTCCCAACAGGCAGCCTCTCTGCCAGCCACCTTCCCCGGCGGCGCCACGGGAGCTGGCTCTGTACGGACCAGGAACATGGAGAAAAGCCGGACGTGAAGAGCCCATTCTCCACACATGGAAGCAGAGCCGCACTGGGGTGCTCGCTCTGCCTGCAGGCCCCTACCCGGCCCTCTCTGACCCCTCCTCACAAAGGGCCCTCCTCTGCCCTGCAGGGGCTGCCCCTGGGCGCACAGAGCTCTGGGGAGCTGGGCACCCTGGAGGCCTGTGGGGAAGCTGGCCAAGTGCTTCTGAGGGGACAAGGCTGTCCTCAGAAGGCAGTCAGTCATCCTTATTCTCAGGTAAGTCTGGATTTTAAGTTCGTTATGAAACGCACACTACATGTGTCCTATGGAAAAGCTAAGTAAGAAGTCTCAACCCCACAACTGACACAGAAGGAATTTTAGCTCATGCGTAAAATGCCACAGTGTGTGATGAGACAGAGGAGCAGCTCTGACAGCTTCCAGGGCAGGACCGACCCAGCGCAGGATGGGGAACACAAGGTAAGGGCTGTGGTGCCAATCGGAACCCCCTGCAGGGAAACAGGCATCTTCACTGCGGGCCCTTCCACTCCAGCCTCTATCTCCTACTACAAACGCAGCATCTCTGAGAGTCAGGCTTTTCTACCTAGAGTGCAACTGGAGGAAGCGTGGAAGACACATTTACCTCCCCAGAAAAATCAGTGATGGGTTGTGACATTTGCTATACCCAAGAGGACTCAAAGCTGCACAAGGCACACAGTGTAAAGCTGGAGGGAGGGCTCTATTCAGTTTTCAGTCATCAGCATTTGAATGGACATTCTAAACAGGCGAATCACCTGGCTGAGACAGAAAGGAAGCAAAGTAACGATGACAGGAGTCGGTCTCAGTGACCCCGGAGCAACCCCAGTGAGGGAGGCCAGGAAGGAGTCAGGCGGGCCAGGAGAAGGAAGTCTGGAGTGAGGGAACCCCTCCTCCGGGTATTTCGAGAAACACAAGAAGTCTTCGGTCCTCAGCCCCTAAGCATTCCCTGATGGCTTTTGCAGGCACCACCCAAGGTGACAGGCTGAGGGGAGAAGCCCGCTGGCTCCTGGGCAAGAGTTCGAATCTGGAACGGAATGACACACTAGACCCGTCACAGAACACACCATCTGGAGATAAGGCCAGCAAAGGCCGCTGGGGAAAAAAAAGGTCAAAGTTGCCAGAAAGAGTTCCGACAGAGAATGATCACCCCATTTACCTGGGCCTCCGTGGCCGCCTCAGAAGGGCAGGAGTTGCCGTTCTGCACTGGAGCTGCACCAGGTCCTGAATCTGATAAAAGCCAGAGAAAGGATGGAGGATTACGCTTTGCTGCACAGACTTTGCTGAAGAAACACAGAACTTTCAAGCCTCCCTTCACCATGCTACACTCTTCCCCACACCAGAACCAGGGGGAGACAGGTCTCCTGACCCTTGAGGAAGAGACCAGAGCCCTGGTTCAGGTGTTCCCATAACTAATCACCCTAGATGGGAGCACAGGGCTCAGATCCCTGGAAATCAGCACTAACACAGGGGACTCACCACACACTTCAGGGGAAATCGCAGTTCCCACACAGGCTAAACACTGAAATAAGAAGAGGCTTTCATAGGAAGAGTATCAACAACCCCTGACCATGAGCTCCACCTCTTCCTCCTCAGCCCACCGGTAAGCTGTTACAATCCTTCTGACAGCATGTGTCTTGTGTAAGTGACCATGTGTCATGTAAATATTTATGAAAGAAGTAGTCTTAAACACACTAATATTGTAGTAAGTAGCAAACGAACAGTGAATTTTATGAAGATCCTACTGGAAGATTTTAGAGTTACACGTTTAACTCTAGAAGTGACACTACTCTACATAGTAATGCCACTTACTAACTGGCACTGATCACTGTGCGACATTTTTTGTAAGAACAAAGGGACCTGCAAAATTAGTGAAGAAATGCCTGCCATCTTAAAACAGATCTTGAACAGAATAGTTATCCACCAAGACAAATGAAGAAAAATTTTTTTCTCATCAGGACATACTGCCTTCATTCTAAAACCCCGGGCATGTTATTTTTCTCAACAAGGAGAATTCAGCCTTCAACACTGTGTCCAGGCGGGAAGAGGGTGCTGACGCTCATGTCTTCCAGCGCACAGAAACCAGCCACGCCAGCCACCCAAGGGCCTGGGGGGTGGCCCACAGCCCCTGGAGGGGCATGAGCTCCACTGTTCACAGAGGACAGAGCCTGGCTGGCTGGTGGCATGTGAAGAAAACAGCATCTTGTCAACCAGCTGAGAAACCATTCCCTGTGGTGAGTGTGTGGTGTGGTGTCCAGGAAACCCAACAATCACCCACGGGGACAAGAAACCCATTCGGTGGTTTCTGCAGCAGAAATGAAGCTGCCACACTTCACAGTGTGCTCCTTACCTCTCAGGGGAGGAGGCAGCCTGTGTGGCCCTCCTGGGGTAGGGTCCTGCCTCATGTATTCCTCTGTCTGCCTCTCTCTGCAAGTTATGTCCAGTCTTAAAGATAGAGAAAGAATGGCTTCAATAAGAATTACATCATCAATTCCTCTACTAGATACAAAACAGCCAATCCTTAAGAATCTCAAAACACCCTTAAAACTGTTTCAAAATTCTGTACCTTTGTTTCAGGTGGGCATTCTCCCTTCTCAACTGAGCATTTTCCCTCTCCAGCTCCTGAGCCCCGAGCTGTGGGAGAAAAACACATCCACATTCAGTTGTGGCCGACTGTGCACAAAGGGAAGGAAGGAAACAAATTCTTACCCAGTTGTCTTGGGCCTTCTTCACGGCAAGAGCGATCTTAGAAGTCAACACATCAAGAAACACCCCATGGCAAGGGGTTCTCAGGGCCACAGTGACCGTCTCCATCAGGTGCTGAGGACTCGGTGTGTCAGGAGGAAGGCAGGGTACCTGGTGTCTCCAAGTGATCTCTGCTTCCCACGTTTGCCCGTGACATTCAACTCTTCTCCTACGAGTTACAAATTGTTCCATCAGAGAAGACACAACGCTGGGTATGACGTTAAATACCCTGCCCCAGCCCACGTTATCCGCACTGCACACTCTCACACAGCATCTCACCGCACAAGACACGCTCGCTGCACACGGCTGTAGAAGCACAGCGGGTGCAAAGCTGTCACTGCAGCCACTCCTCCCGTCACTGTTGTTGAACGCCTGCCGGGTTCTGCGCGGACACAACCCCCTCTCCCATTATGAGCGTTTCCCTCACGTGTCCTGTGCTGAGCATCTTTCATCATAAAGCTTGACTCTTCCTTTCCTTACATCCTGACCCTATTTCTCAGCCTTACAACACGTCGGTCTCCCCAGTGACATGGGCATGTTTGTTGGTCCGACTGACGCTACACCAGATTGCTGTCCTCAGGTTGAGAACAGTTTATAGCTTCTTCAGAAACATCTCTGCGAACCGTCTTTCCACTCAGTCTCCCTCCCAGAAATTGGAGGGAAGAATTCAATGTTCCTTTTGCCCTTCCCCATAAATGCTCAGGCTGATAAATACACAGGAAAGAATGAAACGCCCTCCACTAATAAATATCAAAAAACTACACTCGGGCCTCTGGCAAGTGTTTGGTATCTGGGCTTCCCTTCAGCGTCCCCACCCCTACTCATTTGTGCATAAAGTAAACGCACAGGAAAAGCCCATGGGAGGTGTGCTCTGTGCCCCGCACCCCAGGCTCAGGCTCCTGTGACGGGGACAGTGCGAGCTCTCTGTGTTTCAACGTGGGAACCAGGGCCTGACCAAGTCATCACAACCAAACACATTAGGGTGAAGCAAGCATCCATGACTTGTTTGATTTCTCCCACTGAGAGCCCTGATTTCAGTCAAAGCCTGGGGCAAAACCTGGTTCTTCAGAGAATGTAAGAAAATGTTTGCTTTTGAAAGTGGGTTAATAGGTATGAAGTCTATGCCCTCCCCCTGAGAATAACCAGAAACTCTGGACAAATTACAAATCCACGACCAAATACACAAAATTGCTAACAAGGCAGGAAGGAACATGAGGCCAAGATGGAAAAGAAGGAAGCCCAGGACTGGGTCCACCTTCCCAGAGGGTCACCCGGTAACTGCAGAGGAAACCACTGAGATGCAGAGCAGCCCGGCAGCTGTTGCCCCCCCCCAAACAGGCACTGCAGTCAGACAGCTGGAGCTCACGGTCTGTCAGCAAAGGCGATCCCTAGAGTGACCCAAAGGCCTTAGCTGGGATCCACGAGAGCCACGTGCCAGGAACGAAGATGGAGAGGAGACACGGGCCTCACGAGGGCTGGCTGCACTGACTGATCTCAGCTGCCAACTGGGTTAACAGGATGCAGCGCTGCTGGCGCCCTGATCACCTGCCAGCTGTGACGCCCACCTTCTCTGAAGCAAGTTAACCTCACACTAGGCCTTAAATTTTCTCTATTTTCTACCCAACGTCTAG